TAGCTTTTTTTTACCTATTAATTAAATTCTTAAATTTGACAGCAATACACCAAACTACATAACGACCTGGGATTCAGTAAGATCAATGTATAATTGAGATAGATGTAGAGTTTGATGAAAATCCAAGTTGATTTGAAAAAGTTATAGAAATAATTAAAGTTGACTATCTGAATTTAACCAAAATGAAAAATCTCTTTTTTTTTTACCTATTAATTTAATCCTTAAATTTGACAGCAATACACCAAGCTACATAATGACCTTGGATTCAGAAAGATCAATATACAACTGAGATAGCTGTATAGTTATATGAAAATCCAAGTTAATTTGAAAAAATAATAAACAAATTTAAAGTTGACTAGCTGAATTCAGTCCCACTGAAAATTCTAGCTTTTTTTTACCTCTTAATTAAATTCTTAAATTTGACAGCAATACACCAAACTACAAAATGACCAGGGATTCAGCAAGATCAATGTATAATTGAGATAGCTGTAGAGTTTTATGAAAATCCAAGTTGATTTGAAAAAGTTATAGAAATAGTAAAAGACGACTATCTGAATTTAGTCAAAACTGAAAATTCTTGCTTATTTTTTACCTATTAATTTACTTCTTTAATATCCCAGCAATGAACCAACTACCAAAATAACCTGGAATTTTGTAAGATCAATATTTAATTTAGTTAGATGGGCTGATTCAGACCAGTTGAGACTAAAATTGAAGGTGAAGACTAGTCGAGACAGGTCAAGACTGGTCGAGACTGGTCGAGACAGATCAAGACTGGTCAAGACTGGTCGAGACATGTCGAGCCTTGGTCGAGACCATTTCAGACTATTTAAGTAAAGTAGAGACCAAAGTCGAGTACAGTTAAGTACTGTCGAGACAAGTCGAGTAAAATCTGTGCTCGACTTTACTGGTCGATCACAAAAACTGGTCTTTTCAGACTCTGAGCAGTTTGTAGTGGGGGTAAAATGCAAGTTTTGTCTATTATTCTGATAACCGTTATAAAAAGAGGAAATCTGACGAGGGTTAAATTGTTCAGAATGTTGAGCTCTACCAATTATCTATATACGTCAAAACTGTAAGACAATTTCCTGTAGGAGTTATTGCCCTTAAATGACAAATTTTACCACTTTTTTTTCAATTTTTGCCTATTATCATATCTTGAAAACTATAAAAGATAGAGAGAAACTTTAAATTGCAAAAATGATCAGAAGGACAAGTTCTTCAAATAAGTCTTATGGTTGAAATCATCAGTTGACTCCTTATTAGAGTTATTTCCCTTTGATGCCGATTTGTACAATTTTTTTTGCGTTTTTGTCTTATATCTTTAAACTTATAATAGATAGAGAAAGAAACTTAAATATACAAAAATGATCAGCAAGACAAAATCTACAATTAAGACTAATGGTAGAAATTGTCTAACGACTCCTTATTGGAGTTATTGCCCTTTAATAATGATTTTTATACGGCCGAAAAAAAAATTTTGTGGTCGTATATTGGTATGACGGTGGTGTCGTCGTCGTCGTCGTCCGAAGACACATTAGTTTTCGCACTCTAACTTTAGTTTAAGTGAATGGATCTCAATGAAATTTAACCATAAGGTTCAATACCACAAAAGGAAGGTGGGGATTGATTTTGGGGGTTATGGTACCAACAGTTAAGGAATTAGGGGCCAAAAATAAGCATTTTTGTAACTTCCAGACATAACTTGTGTGAAAGTGTATGGATCTCTCTGAAATTGTACCACAAGGTTCCATATCACAAAGGGAATGCTGGGATTGATTTTGGGGGTAATTGCCTCCAAATTTTAGGAATTACGGGCCAAAAAGGGGCAAAAAACAAGCATTTATCTAGTTTCATGACAATAACTTGTGTGTTAGTGTATGGATCTCTCTGACATTGTATCACAAGGTTCCATATCACAAAGGGAATGCTGGGATTGATTTTGGGGGTAATTCCCTCCAAATTTTAGGAATTAGGGGCCAAAAAGGGGCAAAAAATAAGCATTTTTCTAGTTTCATGACAATAACTTGTGTGTAAGAGTATGGATCTCTCTGAAATTGTACTACAAGGTTCCATATCACAAAGAGAAGGCTGGGATTGAGTTTGGGGGTAATTCCCTCAAAATTTTAGGAATTTGGGGCCATAAAAGGGCAAAAAAACAAGCATTTTTCTAGTTTCAGGACAATAACTTGTGTGTAAGTGTATGGATCTTTATGAAATTGTACTGCAAGGTTCCATATCACAAAGGGAAAGCTGGGTTTGAGTTTGGGGGTAATTGTCCTAAACGTTTAGGAATTTGGGGCCAAAAAGGGGCCAAAAAACAAGCATTTTTCTAGTTTCCAGACAATAACTTGTGTTCATGTGTATGGATCTCTCTGAAATTGTACTGCAAGGTACCATACCACAAAGGGAGGCTGGGATTGAGTTTGGGGGTGATGAATCATAAGGGGGTTCAAAAAATTTGGGGGGGGATTTTTTTTTTTCCTTTTTTTTTCTTTAGAATTTTCCATTTTAAATTGGTTATTTCTGATTTATATATAAAAGCAAATAATAATGATATGGTTTGAATAGGTAAATTAAAATTTTTTAAGTTCTTAGACCACTTTCATTCTGTGTCAGAAACCTATGCTGTGTCAAATATTTAATTACAATCCAAATTCAGTGCTGTATCAAGCTTAAATGTTTTGTCCATACTTGCCCCAACTCTACAGGGTTCGACCTCTGCGGTCGTATTAAGCTGCGCCCCAGCGGAGCATTTTATTACCATTTTTTTGGCGTTTTTCCTTGTATGATATTAATCATAATAGATAGATAGAAACTTAAATAATCAAAAATGATAAGCAAGACGAGACCTACTAACAAGTCAAATTTTGCTGATATAATAAGTAGACTGTTACTCTTTATAGGAGTTTTTTTACCCTCTTTTGTGTTTAGAGCAAAAGCTAAATAAGATCATGAAGATAGAGAGAAACTAAACAGACTTCAATGATCAGCAATGTAAGATAAAAAAAAAACAGAGATTTTTGTCATTAATTCTATTCTCGTCTACAATGTTGGAGAGTGTCCCCTGTTGAATATGCATATAGACCAAGGTGAGCGACACAGGCTCTTGAGAGCCTCTAGTTTTGTTATGCTTGAAGATATTCATTTGATATGTGGTATATAGTTTAACCATGACAAGTTGCAGATAAAGATAGAATTTTGGTAGGTTCAGATGATTTTTATTGTCCTTGGACTTAATAAATTCACGCAAATAACCAGTTTTCCACACTTGTTTTGTTCATGCTTGAAGAAATTGATTTGATATTTGTTATATAGTTAACACCATGACAAATTATAGATCAATTTAACATTTTGTTCCAGTACAATGAATTTTTAACCAATAGTGGACTAGGTATTGCCATGTGATACTCTCAGAATGCTTGTTTATTATGGAAAAACATGTTGAAATGCAAGTTGTACATAACCAATGAGTAAGATAAATTTCAAGTTTTCTATTACATTGTAGCCTTCTTTTTAGCTTCACCTAGCTAGATATAAAATAAGGAGATGTGGTATGATTGCCAATGAGACAACTATCCACCAAAGTTCAAATAAAGTGGATGTAAGCAATTATAGGCAACTGTACGGCCTTCAACAGTGAGAAAAACCCATACTGTATAGTCTGCTATAAAAGGCCCAGACATAAAAATTATGAAACAATTCAATTGAGAAAACTAACGGCCTAATTTATAACAAAATAATTAACCAAAAACCAAATATGACAGATGTGAACCAATGACAACTACTGAACTTCAGGCTCCTGATTTGGGACAGGCACATAAAGAATGTGGTGGGCTTCAACATGTTTGTGAGTGCTCAACCCGCTCCCTAACCTTGGACAGTGGTGTAACAGCACAACATAAGAACAAACTATAAAAATCAGTTGAAAAAGGCTTAACTCATCAAATTAATTCAAGAAAAACATAGAACAAAATGACAGACAGGACATGGGAGGGTATATATCCATCCCTCATCCCTAACAACAAAAAAGACTTTAAGTACAAATCTGAGAGTACTTTCAGTTACTGACAGCTAGTTCAAAGCCAATAACAACTAATACAAAATATCATGTTTCTAACACTAAAATATTACACATCCAACATCCAATTGATTAAGTGTAAAGACATCATTAACAGTCAGAGAAAAACATGACCTTGTGCAATGCCAAAACAAAGGTATCGACAGATTGTAGTGCCGTGAAAGTACAAATGTGTAATATTTAGTATGGTAGTAATTTACTGATAAACATGATAAAAATCGATATTTATACCAATAAAAACAGTATTCAAAGATTTAATTGCAGTGTTGAACAGGTAACCTTTTAGAAATAGTTTATTTAAAGGATTGATAAGTTTACCCTGATCGTATCTAAATTTCTGGGCCCAGCTAACAACATCACTGTAAAATTTAGGATGTGCTATTCCGTTTGAAAAAGTTTTCTAAAATTACAGTCAAACTTGCAAACAAAATCTTTGTATCAATGGAAGAATTTAGTAAAGGTTTTAAGTAATTTGTGGTAACGAAATCCCTGACTTAATTATAAATTTACCAGACAGAAAAATTTACGACAAAAGTGATGGTACTCTAGCACCACCTTACGGTGTTTATTTATCCAACTCGTTCCTTATGCAAGTGTCTGAAGTGATGTTTTGGATTTGAATGCTATGGGTAATCTATAAATTACTTAGAGTTTCTGGTGTAAAACTGAAATGTCAAAACCTAGTAAGGACACTTTCGCTGTTAATATTTGATTTATTTAAGGTAATTAGTTCCTGTGGGTAACTTTCCCCAGTATATTTAGAGAATTCTTGATTATTTATAATTTAATGAAAAAAAATTTATCAAGGTAAAGCTTGTATATATATTACATGTAAAAAGTAATGCTATTCTGATTATTTTTGTTGCCACTCTTTAATTTATGAAATGTTTATATGCTCTGTATTGTTTTTGTTGGTCAGAGGAGAGTTAAACTGGTTAGATATAATAAAGAAGGACATTGATTCAATGGACCCATCAATTGAAAACTATGACTCCTGGTTTGATGATTGGATGGAAGAAGCAGTGGAAAATTCTGAGAAAAGCTCAACTGATGGATATCATCAGAAGAAAGATAAATGTGACAGGTATGGGTAGTATACATTTAATGATAGAGATATTCCATATACATTTACATTACTCTGCATAAACAACCTATAAAAATTATTTTGGACCTATTGCATTAAAGCAGGATAGAGGAGAGAATGGACTGCATGATATGATTGCTCAATTAATGATTCAATTATTATTTTGCTGTTTCTCTACCATCTCATCTTAAATAGGACATGGATTTAAAAATTCTAGAGAATCTTATTTATATAATGCCATTGTGCATGTCTTTTTATTTTTGAGCTCACCTGAGCTTTTCTCATCACTTGGCGTCTGTTAGTTTTTACAAAAATTTTCATCTCTGAAACCACTAGGCCAAATTTAATTAAACTAGGCCACAATCATCATTGGGGTATCAGGTTTAAAAAATGTGTCAGATGAACCTGCCTGCCAATCAAGATGGCCGTCATGGCTGAAAATAGAACTAAGGCATAAAATGCAAAATTTGTCTATTATTTGAAAAACCTTTATAAATAGAGAAAGTCTGACTTAGGCAGAAATTATCAGAATGTTGAGCTCTACATATTGTTCATGTATGTCAAAACTGTCAGGGGACTTTTTAAAGGAGTTAATGCCCTTAAATGACAAATTTTACCATTTTTGTCGAGCCTGCGACTTTTGTCGCAGAAAGCTCGACATAGGGATAGTGATCCGGCGGCGGCGGCGTTAGCTAACTTCTTAAAAGCTTTATATTTTAGAAGGTAGAAGGTCTGGATGCTTCATACTTTGTATATGGATGCCTCATGTTACGAAGTTTCCGTCAGTCACATGTCCAATGTCCTTGACCTCATTTTCATGGTTCAGTGACTACTTGAAAAAAAAGTTAAGATTTTTTGTAATGTTAGATTCTCTCTTATTATAAGTAATAGGATAACTATATTTGGTATGTGCGTACCTTGCAAGGTCCTCATGCCCGTCAGACAGTTTTCACTTGACCTCGACCTCATTTCATGGATCAGTGAACAAGGTTAAGTTTTGGTGGTCAAGTCCATATCTCAGATACTATAAGCAATAGGTCTAGTATATTCGGTGTATGGAAGGACTGTAAGGTGTACATGTCCAACTGGCAGGTGTCATCTGACCTTGACCTCATTTTCATGGTTCAGTGGTTATAGTTAAGTTTTTTGTGTTTTGGTCTGTTTTTCTTATACTGTATGCCATAGGTCTACTATATTTGGTGTATGGAATGATTGTAAGGTGTACATGTCTAGCTGGCAGGTGTCTTTTGACCTTGACCTCATTTTCATGGTTCAGTGGTCAAAGTTAAGTTTTTGAGTTTTGGTCTTTTTTTCTAATACTATATGCAATAGGTCATCTATATTTGGTGTATGGAAATATTTTATGATGTACCTGTCAGTCTTGCAGGTTTTATTTGACCTTGACCTCATTTTCACGGTTCATTGCTCAGTGTTAAGTTTTTGTGTTTTGGTCTGTTTTTCTAATACTATAAGCAATAGGTCAACTATATTTGTTGTATGGAAGGATTGCAAGCTGTAGTACATGTCTGCCTGGCATTGTTCATCTGACCTTGACCTCATTTTCTTGGTTCATTGGTCAATGTTTAGTTTTCTTGGTTAAGTCTGTATCTTAGAAACTATAAACAATAGGTCAACTATATTTAGTGTATTGAATGATTGTAAGGTGTACATGTATTTCTTGTTTGGTTTATATGACCTTGACCTCATTTTCTTGGATCATGTTAAGTGTATGTGATAGCTGTAGTAAAGCTTTATATTTAGGACTATCAACATAATATCAATGATTAGTAAAGAAGGCGAGACATTTCAGCGTGTGCATTCTTGTTTTCATTTTTGCCTATTATCTTGAAAACTGTAATAGATACAGAGAAACTTTAAAGAGCAAAAATGATCAGCAAGACAAGATCTACAAATAATTTAGACATGGGTCAATATCCCTAATGCGCCTCAACTTGAGGAACACAAAAGTTGTGCGTAAACAAAAAATCTGTGTAGTGATATTGGACATGTTTCTATTTTTAACAAGTGACTGAGCTTAACCATTTGTGTTAATTTGAAAAGTAGAGGACCATAGAATAAATGTGTAAAAACTATCAGATATTAAATGTATGTAAAGTATTAAATTTTCAAAGAACTTATTGTGTGTAAAAAGGGATTTTTTTACCACCAGGAGCCGCATCACGAAAGGATTTTCGGGGTGTGCTAATTTACGGGAAAATGAAGCACACTTCGGACCCCGAAAATTTAACCACATATGTGAAAATGTCTCAGCTTCGAAAAGAGCCATCATGCATATCCAAGTTTACGATATGGACTGTGCTACAGAGGAAAACGTTACCATTACCGCCTATGTAAAATCAATTACGCATATTGCCCTACATGGTTGAAATCGTCAGTTGACTCCTTATTAAAGTTATTGCCCTTTGATGATGATTTTTACCAATTATTATATAGATAGAAACTTAAATAAGCAAAATGATCAGCAAGACAAGATCTGCAATTAAGACAATATGCAGTAAATTGTGCGAAGAATTCTTTTGTAGTTATTGCCCCTTAATGACAATTTTTACCAATTTATATTGCGTTTTGCTTTATATATATGATAAAAATTATCATAGATAAATAGAAACTTTAAATAACAAAAATGATCAGCAAGGCAAGATCTAAAAACAAGTCAGATTTTGCTGATAAGGTTAGTAGACTGTCAATTTTTATAGGAGTGGATGCCCTTAAATGAGTTTTTTTTTACCCTTATTTGTGTTTTAAGCAAAAAGTAAGGAAGATAGAGAGAAACTAAACCGTCAAAACGATCAGCAATACAAGATCAACAAAAAAGAGATTTATGTCATGAATTCTATACTCGCCTACAGTGTCATGAATGTTGGAGGGTGTCATTTGTTCAGTATACACATAGACCTAGGTGAGCAACACAGGCTCTTTAGAGCCTATAGTTATTTAAGTGATTTCTAAGGTTTCCTTTTTCAAAACATGGACTCTGCCATGCCATAAATGATATAAATATGGAGGTATCAATTTACAACTGATTAAAGAGCTACACAAAAAAATGTTATTAGTGTTTATGAAAATATTTGTATTTTTACGTGTTTGTTAACTTGCTAGGTACTTATGTCAGTCCGGGATAAATCTCAGGGACCGCGCTGGGCGTCGCCAATGTCGCAATTTGCGATTTTTTATTTCATCTGGCGACAAAATACAGCTGCTGGCAATATTTCTGGCGCCAACATTTTCCTATGTCAAAATTTTCATTTCTTGACTGTAACGGTAACATATTGATCTTCATTTAAATTGGTAAATGTAAAAAAATAAATTATACGAAATTTTACCTGGCGACAAGTTTATGACTTTGTTTATGACCCCAAGCTAATCAACGGTTACAACAGGTGTCATAATCTGTTGTTACAGGTAATCCGTTTATCGGATGGATCATTAATGATCATCAACATTCATTCAGGCCACACTTAAAAATATTTTGGTTTGCCCAAACCCTACCCAAAGGTAGAGTCAGTGGGTAGGTAGGTAGGCATTTTCTTTTTTTTTTTCGACAAAGAGAAATTGAAGTGTCAGATGTTTTTAAGTCTTCATGCCTATCTGATTAAAAAAAAAACTTTTCACATCAGGACAATAAAAGATTTTGAGTAGGCAGCTATTTTCTGGGTAGGTAGGGTTAGGGCAAACAAACATATTCTTTTTTATGGCCTCATTCAAATAGAATCAGTCAGTCGGCATTTGTCATTTCATTTGAAGAAATTTTCATACGAAAGCACAATTTTCAACGTTTACTGTATTTTCAAGAAGAAAACATAATTGACAGAAAGACGAAAACCATAATCAACATCGTTTTACTTGCATTCCGTAAAAAATAGTAAATTCAGATGTAATATGTCTTTGCCTGACCTCAATTTTGAGACAAAAATAACAAAACTGGCCACCATTGTTGATCGCATTTACTTCTACTGCGTACTGTGTATAATCCTCCGTAGAAGGAGCACACCTGAATAAAGAAAGATAACTCAATTTTATTTTTTCATATATATATATATATAGTATTGAGATACCTACTCAAGATATGTCTACATACTTCTGACTTAAGAATTTATAAAGGAGGTCTTTTGAGTTATGGACATAGTTAAGAGGGTCTTGGTAGCAGGATTGGTAGGGTGCTTTGGTCATCATTTTCTGTATTCTTTATTTTTTATATAAATTTTCACTATTCTGTATATGTAAACACCCATTATTCTCTTTTCTTCATTTAATTTCCCATTTTTGCCATTCTTTATTTTTTTAATTTAAAAACCTTTTCTCTGTTCTGCAGCCTATACAGACCATAAGCTAATTGTAAGGACAGGAACATTGATCATAAATAGTCATTATATAAGTCACATTAGTCACTGTTTGGAGAAATAAACATTCAAATAAATACATACAATATGCTGTTTTGTGGAAAAACAGATGCTTTGTTTTAATCTTTATTGTTATATTTTTATTAGTAGACGTAAGAAATACTGACAAAGAAAATAAAAGTACACATGTTTTTTCATGTATATAAATCCTATGCAATAACTAATTTAGTGTAACATGTTAAATGATGTACAGTGCAGGCTGTGTGCATAAGAAATTTAAATTGAACATGGTTTCAATTTTGGTGGAGGAAATTAAGATTCTAGCTGGCTCTAAAGTTGGCTCCAAGTTTTTAAAACTGGCGACAAAATAAAGCAGCTGGCGATTTTTCTGGCTCCAACTTTTTTAAAGCCAGCCCAAGAGAAAATAAATCTGGAATCCCACCTCATTCCACCAGGATAAAATTTCGGGATTCCCGCAAAAGAAGCGGGATCCTGATGTAAATCCCATTGCAAATATACTGGGATCCCACTGGGATATTGTGGGATTTTGATTGGAATATACTGGGATTCCCGGAAAAAATTGGGATCCTGAAATAAATCCCAGTGTAAATATACTGGGATATTGTGGGATTTTGATTGGGATATACTGGGATTCCTGGGAAAAAAGGGGGATCCCGAAATAAATCCCAGCAGGATATACTGTATTTATCATGTTAAAAACATTAAATGTCCAACCATGATTCCTACCATATTCAACCATGCATGTTTCCTACAATCTTCAATTATCTTGAACAGATTGTCTACTTGTTAAGAAGCCTTGTATACTTCTCTTTCTATCTGTATCAGGACTACCAACAAATGCTCAATTACATCCATAAAATTAAAAAGCAGTTTCCACCTGCAAGAACATAAAATTTTCCACAAAGAATCAATAGCTCCTGATATTTTGTAAATAAAACAGATTTTAAGGATCAATAAATTTTATTTTCATTAATCAATGTTGTTTATATTCTATTTTGCAAATTTACGATAAAAAACAACATTATGAACACATTTTTTTGGTCAAATAATTGTAAGTTGTAACCCTACCCCTCTTTTACCTTTCAAACAAAAGAAGAATGATTGATGTATAATTAATTATTTTAACATGGGAATTAAAAACATTCACACTTTTCATCTTGTATAATTTTATCAGTTATACCTGGAATTCAAAACAATATTCATTTATCACAGTTTTTTTATGCTGACATCGAAAAGCTGACAGACAAAGACCACTTTCTGATGTGAGCAATTAATGAAAGCCATATCAAATACCGTAATAATTTTCATATCTTATAAACAAAATATCAAACAGATTTCCAGTAACTATACTTATCTGATAACAAATCTGCTTTACATGACAATCCTGGACATCAATCTCTTCACTTGAACTTTTTTAAAAGCGCGAAATAACATTGGTCACGTCACGTGGCTTTTGTTCCAAGTCATTGAAATGTTTCACTTTGAGTGAATCCTAGTTACCTTAACGGTTGGTGATAATAATTGACCATGACATCGCATGTGTTCCGGTGACAGAACAACAACACGATCATTATCTAAATCTGAAATGTTTTCAAGTTCTTAAAATATGCCGTATAATGATAAAGAAAGGCAGATTTATGTACTTGGAGAGAGAGTCAGAAATTACGTCTTTGGAAGAAATGAATAATAGTTTGACAGTGTACCACTGATAAAAAACAAGTAGAAATAGAAATTGAAAACTGAAAGTAAGTTCCAACTTCCAGTTTGTAAAAGTCCGAAATTTCACCCGACTGTCACTATCTTTCTCTGCTACTGTAGCTTAACTGCTCAGTTTATATTTATTTTCTAATGACAAGAGAATATATTTTTTATTGAACATAAACATGAAAGGTCAGAGAGCCAGAATTTACATCTTTGGAAGAAAGAAATTAAAAATTGATAAGTTGATAAGAGCATGTTTAGTGAAAGAAGATGACGTTTGTAATAATTATTTACTATGATGTTTTGATGTTTGAAATATGTTAATTGTCATTCAAAAGAGGATAAATTATTACTACACAGAATTTAAAAAAAGGACATGAAATAAACAAATAGGTTTCATCTGACCTTAACCTTAACCTTGTGATTAGGTCTAGTTCATGGTGAACCACTAGTGGTAGGTCAATGATGTTTGGTATGCAGTTGTATTAGCATTGGCACATCTCATTACCATGGCAATTATTTGGCCCAGCCCCCTCAGTCAAGGTCTATTGACTTTGGAACTTTTCATAGTTTACATGTATTAGTTTGTGATTAGGTCAATTTATGGGGAACCACTAGTGGTAGGTCAATGATATTTGGTATGCAGTTGTATAAGCATTGGCATATCTCATTTCCATGGAGATTATGTGGCTCCGCCCCCTTAGTCATGGTCTATAGACTGATAATTTTGCTAAGTTAACATGTATTAGTTTGTGATTAGGTCAGTTCAAGGGGAACCATTAGTGGTAGGCCAATGTTAATTGGTGTTCAGTTGTTGTATAAGCATTAGCACATCTCATTTCCATGGAGAATATTTGGCCCCTTCCCCTCAGTCATGGTCTATTGACTTTGAAACTTTTTCTTAGTTCACATGTATTAGTTTGTGATTAGATTAGATTAGGATGAACTGCTAATGTTAAGTCAATGATATTTGGTATTTGCAAGTATCGTTTCCATGGAGATTATATAGCCCCACCCCTGATCATGGTTCATTGACTTTGAAACTTTTACATAGTTTACAAGTTAATGTTTGTGTTTACAGGGGTTAACAAATTTTGTTACAGCTCACTAGCCCAGGACTTATTGGTAGCAGGATTTTACAAGCCCTGTTGGAAGAACTGCTAGCCCATCAAAACTGACCTGCTAGCCCGAGTATGTCTTACAAATTCAGAGTTTGCTGCATAATACAACGAGTTCTTTAAACTTGTTCATTTCTATCCGTTGTACTATGGGTTGTTAAATATTTTACAGGATCTCGGGGATTTAAATGGATTGAAGAGTTAATGCGATAATACATGTGTAATTAAATTTCCAGTCACTGACCGCTGTATTGATTTATGACATTCTTTTTGCACGAGTGTTTTCCCAAGATTATCTCTGATCACCATGATAAACTACAGAAAACATGTTCATTGGTCTTGTCATGTGAAACCAGTGGTTCAAATCATATATTTGTTCCAACATACAAAGCAGACTTTTTATTAGCGTGATAGGGAAAATAACGGCAATATACACAAAACATTGTCTCTGGTTTATCATCAGCAACAGCCGACCTTGCCCTGGGAATCTTTTTGTCCATGACACTATAAATGTTCTTTTCAGCTTTTCCCGGTTGTATTTGTCTTTTTTGGGATGAATTTTCAGCCCCTACATCTACCGTTTTTTGTTTTGAAACTGACCATTAGTTCCTGGGGTGTCCGTACTCAAATATTTCAAATATTTTGTTGCATGGTTTAGTGCTTAACAGCTGTCCGACATGAAAGGTCAATATCGATCAATGCATCATATACCCCCACTGGCCCAAAACCGTCACCGGTAATTGAAAATCTCGGCATAAGCAATGTACAATACCCCCTGTACTGAGAAATCGATATTGAAAGTACGGGAATTGCGATCAATACATGATACCGGTCCACCCAGAGTTATTTGTTCTATTTAAAAACATGTACAAAATCAGTTCAAATTCTTGAAATCCCGGATGACGTAATTGAATCTTATTGGCTAAGATAGAATAGTGATGAGGGGATTTTCCACTTTCTATTTTGGAAACGCCAAGAATTTTTTGTTACTAGTCCGTCGGGTATATTGGGTTACAAGTTTTGATTGCCCGAAGCATAAATGCTGTAGCCCCGGGTGTCGGGCTATTGGATTTTTTAACCCCTGTGTTTAGGTTTGTTTAAAGGGAACGACTTATAATAAGCCAATGGTATTTGGTATGCAGTTGTATTAGCATTGGCACATCTCATTCAATGGAGATTGCTTAGCCATGTACCTTCAGTCATGGTTCATCAACTTTGAATATTTGCATAACTTACATGTTAAAGTATTGCTATTTTAATTTCAATATTTGCATTATCAAAATTACAAAAAGGCGAGACATATCTCTGTGATAACAGTTTATTATAGTTGGTCAATGTTAAGTTTTTGTGTTTTGGTGTGTTTTTTAGATACTGTAAGCAATAAGTCAACTTTATTGGGTGTAAGGAATGATTGTAAGGTGAACATGTCTGTCTTGCAGGTATCATCTGACCTTGACCTCATTTTGATGGTTCATTGGTCAATGTTTAAAAGTTTTAGTGTTTTGGTCTGTTTTTTTTCAAATTTTAATAGCAAACAGTCAGCTATATTTGGAGTACAAGTAATAATTGTAAGGTGTACATGTCTATCTGGCAGGTATCATCTGACCATAACCTCATGGTTCATTGGTCAATGTTAAGTTTTTGTGTTCTGCTCTGTTTTCAATTATATCTGTCTGATAGGATTTATCTGACCCTAACCTCATTGTCATGGATCTTAAAAAGTGTTGAGGTTATGTGATACTTGAAGTAAAATCTGTATCTTTCAAGCTTTCAACAAAAAATCAATGGTTATTAAAGCAGGCCAGACATTTCAGCATGTGCACTTTGTCTTTTCATAGTATGACTAATCTCAACCTGATCTTCTCCAAAATTTACTTATACAAGTATTTTTTTTAAACTCTTTTGGGAGGTCAAACTATGGCTGAACATTTTTTTTCTGCTTTGCTAATATTTTTTTAATTAGAGTTCAACCTTTTATCTCAAATTATTTAAGAAAAAATCTTCTTAGCAATGATGTTAAGTAACTGCGGAAGGCCTTAAAAAATTGCTACTGATAGAGGATTGAAATGAACAGTATTTTGAAGATAACAGACAAATGAGAATTTCTTTGTCCATGGAACTATACTTTTAGGAATAGTAAATACAACTTTGAAGACTGACAATTAAATACTGAATTAGAGCAATTGTAGTCCAGAAAAGTTCAAGAAAAGAAGAAAATATGAATTTTTTTTACTTATATAAGTAAAAAAAAATGAATGTCTAAGGGATACAACTCTATCTCCATAATAATTTACTGGTACCAGTTAATAATAAAAAAAACAACTTGTATTAGTATTACCCCAGACTATGTGAAAAGGTATCCTTTTCATAATTATGAGGAAAACATCTCAACATACATTGACATATGCAGTGAATAATTTTTTTTTCTTTCACAGGCAGAAAAAGAATGAAGAAAACAGGCCAGACTGAGAAAAGTTCAATATCTAGGACAGTTGCAATTTTTTGGAGGGAAGGTTTGGCGCCAACAAACTTGTTAAACCCAGTCACATTCTGTATATGCCTGTCCCAAGTCAGGAATCAGTGTAATACAGTGGTTGTTGTTTGTTGCTGTATATCATATTTGTTTTTCGTTCATTGTTTTGTATAGTCTAGCACTTAAGCACCTTGTGTACTTGTTTTTATGCCCCAACTACGATAGTAGAGAGGCATTATGTTTTCTGGTCTGTGCGTCCGTTCATTCGTCTGTTCATTTGTTCGTCCGTCTGTCCCGCTGCAGGTTTAAGTTTTTAGTCAAAGTAGTTTTTGATGAATTTGAAGTCCAATCAACTTGAAACTTAGTACACATGTTCCCTATGATATGATCTTTCTAATCTTAATGCCAAATTAGAGTTTTGACCCCAATTTCATGGTCCACTGAACATAGAAAATGATAGTGCGAGTAGGGCATCCGTGTACTATGGACACATTCTTGTTTTTTAAAAATATATATTATGTTTTTCTTAATTTTATTATATGTGTTGGAATCATGTATGTAAAATTTGAAATGAATTTGTATCATTGTTATAAATATTTTAAATCAAATAAAGGGTTGATTTTAATTGATTTATTTTTTAAGTATGTTTTCCAGCAAATGAGCTTTATATTATTGGTACTATTATAGATATATTCTTGTGCTTTTACATAATTAACATTACCTTTACAGTGTTGAATTAGGAAATATAGGAATGTTTGATTTTCACTTTTGTTGTTGATATCATTTAGATGTTAAACCTGACAATTTTAAAAGAATGATATAATGTTTAATTACTTTTTATAAATGACACTTTTTATCTTTGTTAACGATGTTTAAAGGTAAGAGTTTATTATCATGTTTATACTGGTTAAACATGTTCAATAAAAAAAACAAAAATAAAATTTGTCTTTTGTTCAACAACTTTTGAGAAGTTTTAAACTTATGTACTAAGGAGAGACATAGGAGATAAGAGCAGGTGTATCGTGAGTTGGTGGGGGATATTAGTAAATGGCTTTAAGTACAGTTAATTTTAAAAATCAGAAATGTTATCACACTTGGAATGTAATATGAACACAAATAAGAAATGTAACATTTTTTTTAATATCTGACTGGTATTAGGAGATATAAAAATAAAGATAATCTATATAGAATTTAGATAAAAAATATCACGTATGGATGCTTTAAAAAATTGTGATGTTTACTTTTTGTATTTGAAAACAGTGAAAAATATCATTTCCATTAAATCACTCCATTTTGTGTAATATTTGTGTTGTCAATTTATAATTACCCTGTTCTACATCTGAGATAAGAAGGGATTAAAGAATTCTCTCCATTTTAATTTTTGTATTTATTATTAATTCTGACTATCTTACTCAGCCATAAAAACCAATTTTACCTAGGATGTTCAAATAGATGGAGAAATAAACATATGGTAGTAAGATAGTACTATGATGTTTAATTGTCTATCTATTGAAACATGATTGTTATTATTGGTTTTAATGGTTTGTAAGGTGTAGTAAGATAATAATATGATGTTAGATGGTCTATCTATAGAAACATGCTTGGTGTAGGAAGATAAAACTATGATGTAAGATGGTGTATCTATAGAAACTTGCTTGACATCAGACTCGGACTTCTCTTGAACTGAATTTTAATGTGCGTATTGTTATGCGTTTACTTTTCTACATTGGCTAGAGGTATAGGGGGAGGGTTGAGATCTCATAAACATGTTTAACCCCGCCGCATTTTTGCGCCTGTCCCAAGTCAGGAGCCTCTAGCCTTTGTTAGTCTTGTATTATTTTTAATTTTAGTTTCTTGTGTACAATTTGGAGTTTAGTATGGCATTCATTATCACTGAACTAGTATATATATTTGTTTAGGGGCCAGCTGAAGGACGCCTCCGTTCGGGGGAATTTCTCGTTGCATTGAAGACCTGTTGGTGACCTTCTGCTGTTGTCTGTTCTATGGTCGGGTTGTTGTCTCTTTGAGACATTCCCCATTTCCATTCTCAATTTTATTGGTATAATTGGTTTTGATGGTGTAGTAAGATAGTACTATGTTGTTTAATTGTCTATCTATTGAAACATGCTTATTATATTTGGTTTTTATACGCCCGTCAAATTTTTGACGGGACGTATTATGTTATACAAATGTCCGGCGTCCATCCGTCTGTCTGTCTGTTTGTCCGTCCGTCTGTCCGTCTGTCTGTCCGTCTGTCTGTCCGGCGTAAACATGTCGCACCGTAACTTGAGAATGACTTATCCAAATTTCATGAAACTTAACATACTGTGGATTCATTTATTTTCGTGGGTATCAATTTTCGTGGATTGAGGAAAACTTGCATTTTCGTGGATATTTGATTTCGTGGTTTTTCAAAAATCTGCATATAATCATACAGCAAATTTGTAATTCGTTGAACATTTAAATTCGTGGTTTCCCTGTAACCACGAAATCCACGAAAATTGGTATCCAACGAATAATAATGATTCCACAGTAGTTGTTTCTTATGATGGTCAAACGATCTGTATACTTTTTGGTGAAAATAAGATTAAAACTTTTTGAGTTACGGGACTAAGTAACTAAAACAGGTGTGTGTTTTTTTCACATGTTGCGCCGTATCTCAAAAACAATTTATGATTATTGCTTAAAACTTTACACACTTCTTAGTTATATTAATCTTAAGATCTGTATACTTTTTGGTGATGATTCAAAATTTTATTTTTGAGTTATTGAGTATTTTGTTAAAAAAGGGGAGAGGTTTTTCACATGTCGCGCCGTATCTCAAAAACAGTTTGTGATTATTGCTTAAAACTTTACACACTTCTTAGTTATATTAACCTTAAGATCTGTATACTTTTTGGTGATGATTCAAAATTTTATTTTTGAGTTATTGAGTATTTTGTAAAAAAAGGGGGAGGGTTTTTCACATGTCGCACCATATCTCAAAAATGATTTATGATTATTGCTTAAAATTTTACACACTTCTTAGTTATATGAATCTAAAGATCTGTATACTTTTTGGTTTTGATTCAAAATTTTTTTTTTTGAGATATTGATTTTTTTTTTTAAAGGGGTGTTTTCACATGTCGCGCCGTATCTCAAAAACGATTTATGATTATTGCTTAAAATTTTACACACTTCTTAGTTATATTAATCTAAAGATCTGTATACTTTTTGGTTTTGATTCAAAATTGTATTTTAGAGATATTGAGTTTTTTGTAAAAAAAAAAGGGGGTTTTCGCATGTCACGCCGTATGTCAGAAACTATTTATGCTTATTGCATAAAAATTCACACACAAGATGACGGGCGTATCATGCGCTCATGGCGCAGCTGTTTATTATGGTTTGTAAGGTGTAGTAAGATAATAATATGATGTTAGATGGTCTATCTATAGAAACATGCTTGGTGTAGTAAGATAAAACTATGATGTAAGATGGTGTATCTATAGAAACTTGCTTGGTATAATTGGTTTTGATGGTGTAGTAAGATAGTAATATGATGTTAAATGGTCTATCTATTGAAACATGCTTGGTTTTAATAAATATACCCCCGCTTTAAAAAAGTGGGGGTATACTGTTTTACCCCTGTCTGTCCGTCCATTCATCCATCCGTCAGTCTGTCAGTCTGTCAGTCCGTCCATCCGTCCCATGAATATTTTTCGTTGCATCTTTCTCAGGAACTACATTACAAGGATTTCTGAAATTTGGTTTCAGGGTTTATATAAGTCAGCTATACCGTGTGATGTGTTTTCAGATTCATCACTCAACAACTTCCTGTTTACCGAACACTTACATCATTTTACACATGACATCCAAGTTGAGAATTTTCGTCACATTTTTCTCAGGAACTACATTACAAGGATTTCTGAAATTTGGTGTCAGGGTTTATATAAGTCAGCTACACCATGTGATGCATTTTCATTCATCACTCAACAACTTCCTGTTTACCGTCAAGTATTTGGGCTGGGGGTATCATCAGTGAGCAGTATCTCGCAGTTTCACTTGTTTTTTTTGGTGTAGCAAGATAAAACTATGATGTTAGATGGTGTATCTATAGAAACATGCTTGGTGTAATTGGTTTGTATGGTGTAATAAGATAGTACTATGATGCGAGATGGTCTATCTATTGAAACATGCTTGGTGTAATTGTTTTTTATGGTGTAGTAAGATAAAACTATGATGTGAGATGGTCTATCTATTGATATATGCTTGTTATAATTTGTTTTTATGGTGTAGTAAGATAGTACTATGTTGTTAGATGGTCTATCTATAGAAACATGCTTGGTATAATTGGTTTTTATGGTGTAGTAAGATAGTACTATTATGTTAAATTGTCTATCTATTGAAACATGCTCGATATAATTGGTTTCCATGGTGTAGTAAGATAGTACTATGATGTTAAATGGTCTATCTATAGAAACATGCTTGGTATAATTGGTTTTTATGGTGTAGTAAGATGGTACTATTATGTTAAATGGTGTATCTATAGAAACATGCTTGGTATAATTGGTTTTTATGGTGTAGTAAGATAGTACTATGATATTATATTGTCTATCTATTGAAACATGCTTGGTATGATTGATTTTTATGGTGTAGTAAGGTAGTACTATCATGTGAGATGGTCTATGTATTGAAACATGCTTGGTATAATTGGTTTTTATGGTGTAGTAAGATAGTACTATGATGTTAGATGGTCTATCTAAAGAAAGAAGTTTGGTATAATTGGTTTTTATGGTGTATTTAGATGGTACTATGATGCGAGATGGTCTATCTATTGAAACATGCTTGGTATAATTGCTTTTTCTGGTGGAATAAGATAGTACTTTGATGTTAAATGGTCTTTTTATTGAAACATCCTTAGTATGATTGGTTTGTAAGGTATAGTAAGATAATAGTGTGATGTTAGATGGTCTATCTATAGAAACATGCTTGTTATAATTGGTTTTTATGGTGTAGTAAGAAAGTACTATGTTGTTTAATTGTCTATCTATTGAAATATGCTTGGTATGATTAGTTTTTATGGTGTAGTAAGATAGTACTATGTTGTTTAATTGTCTATCTATTGAAACATGCTTGGTGTAATTGTTTTTTATGGTGTAGTAAGATAGTACTATGATGTTTAATGGTCTTTCTATTGAAACATGCTTGGTATAATTGGTTTTTATGGTGTAGTAAGATAGTACTATGATGTTTAATGGTGTATCTATTGAAACATGCTTGGTATAATTGGTTTTTATGGTGTAGTAAGATAGTACTATTTTGTTTTATTGTCTATCTATTGAATCATGCTTAGTATAATTGGTTTTTATGGTGTAGGAAGATAGTACTATGATGTTAGATTGTCTATTTATTGAAACATCATGGGTATAATTGGTTTTTATTGTGTAATTAGATAAAACTATGATGTTAGATGCCGTATCTAAAGAAACATGTTTGGTATAATTGGTTTTTATGGT